ATATTACCAGAAAGATTTTTACAGAAGTAAAATATTTAAAAAACAAAGATTTGGGGGAAATCTTTGTAAATCCTCCTACGAGAACTTCATGCACAGAAAAGAGATGAAACGAGGTAATCAAACACTTGCTACAGGAAGAAAAGGTGGTGGTGTGACCTAATTGTGGCCTTCCAGTACCTAAGGGAGCCTACAAAAAAGAGGAACAGAGACATTTTACAAGGGCATGTAATGATAGGACAAGAGGGAATGGTGTAAAACTAAGGTTTAGATTAGATATTAGCAAGAAATTCTTTACTGTGAGGGTGTTGATTTTCCAATTTATTTTCTATAGTGGAATTTAAATGAATAATCATGAAAAAGGCTGTAAGTGCAAGAGAGGTTTTCACTCATATGTAACACTCAGTGCTTCCACCAGTTCCTAGGCTCTCTGTACTTGAGTTCCCTTGAGGAAAGCTCTGTACTTCATCAACTTCCTGCCTTCCATAGAGCTGTTGCCACATTGTTTCACATGGCTTTTCCTCTGCTTCAGAGAGTAAAGTCAGACTGACAGAATTAAAAATACAGGGCCTCTTTAAGGTACCCTTGCCTAATTGAGCCCTTCTGGGGCAAGAAAAGGTTCCTTCATAGATTTGTTTCTGAATGCTAGACACAAAAGAAAAAATATCTTTTGTATGCAACATGCACCACAGCATAAAAACCATGTTTAGTTTTCCTCTACAGAAGAGATGCTTATTTCTCTTAAAATATTACTTCATAACAAGATAAAAATGCTTAACAATTTTATAGTGTGTGGGCCAAAATAATTGTCCATTGTTCTACTAGCTCTAAAGTGGGCCTCCCTATTTGTATACACACATTTCATATGCATAAAAGGCTATTTCAATACCTGCACTTCTCATGACTGCACAGTAAGCTCTGCTCTGATGTCTTACCATTCTACAGTATCAAAGGGCAAGAAAATTGTAATCCTGTTCATAATTTCCACAGTTTGAAGCATATATTAGTTATTTCCATAAACATATGCACGATGAAAAGGTCATATCACCTACAGTGATGATGATATTGGCAAGGAACAGTGATGTTACATCATTTAATTTGCCTTCCTTTTGTAAAGATGAATTCATATGAACATCTCAGCTGGGGATTCACAAAATATCCTCTGCTGGAAGGTGGAAATTTGTACAGAGTATAAATGGAAATAACCTTTTTTCTGAAATTTGATTCCTACCCATGACAAGGCTTAATAAGTAACCAATGCCAGTGGAGCATTCTACTGCCCTGCTTTGCAGATTTCCACCACCAGTAAACTTTAGATGTACGGAGCAGTTCATCTGTGTGCATCCTGATGAAACAAATCCATACTCAGCCATCACTAACAGCAAGATAACAATCAAAATGAACAACTGGTGTGATGATTGTGTTTACAGAACATCCTAGAGACAGAGAGGAAAGAATGAAATTCTATAAAACTAAAGTTTACTCAGTCTTTTCAGTCATCAAGAGTAGTTTGCAGAAAGCAGACTGACTATTTTTAATTGACATTCTGAACCCAAGGAATAATTAGGGGTCAGAAATGCCTTTTTTCTTGAATGGAACACAGAACACAGAGGAATGGTTTCTAGCCGAAGTACCTGAAGCTTAGTCAGGAATCTAAAGGAGTAACAACTCAGTACTCCACGTTCAGTGGAAAGCAGTTTAAAATGCACCTTAGAGATGTTTGATTAGAGACTCACAAGAACACATTTTCTTGGTTGATTACCTCGCAACAGCCCTATGACGAGCCAGCATGTCCTCGCTCCTTGGGATCCAAGTCTACTCCACGTACAGAAAACAGGTGAAGATTGCTCACTGCTGGATTTCACAAAATGTCTGGCCAAGTCCAACTTCTTCACTACAGTCACCAGCACCAGAGGAGTAAAGGCACTACACTGGGGTCACTTCCTTAACTACCTCTTGGAAAAGCCTCCCAGCCTGGGCACTCCTCCAGCTGGTAATTCCCCTCTCTAGTGCATAATCTCTTCAAAAAGTAAAGAAGGAGCCCTGTCCGTGGTGCTCAGCCACAGCCCCATGCCACCAAGGAGGCTGCTGTGCTTGCACCCCGTTACAAAACACCAGGCAAGGCCAAAAGGGATAGAAGAGAAACTGAAAATAAACCAGACAGCAGTCCAAGGGAAAAGCAAACAAACAAACAAACAAACTCAAAAAAAAAAAAAACAAACCCTAAAACAAAGGCCTCATACTGCTGCAACAAAGATATATTAAAATTGAAGGGCTTTCACCTGAGTCTATGTAAAGATCCTACTTTATAGGCTGACAGCAGAAAACATTGTTAACTACAAGGTGTGTGTATATATATTATATATGGATTGTGACTATACCCTGAAATATCACCTGCACTTAGCATCAAAACACTTAATCTCCTTACAGCAAAATGAATTGCTGAACATCTAAATGTTTTGGATACAAATGCAATAAACAGGTGAGCATCACCTGACAAGACCAGAGATCCCTCACAGACAGCATTTCACTCATATCCTTTGCAGTGAGTTATTTTCATATCATGAAAAAGTGTAATAACTTAAATCATATCCTGAGGAGTCTGGATGCTGTTCCAAAAACGTCTCTACAGACTATCTGGTCCGTCCATACTGTTTGTACCATCATGTGGGAAAACTCCATGACTGCAAATGAGAAAATATTTGCTCTCCAAGCTGTGATACAATGGCACTTAAGTGCCATAGGAGAAGGCTGAGTGCACACATCTTAACTGCAGTGGGCAAGGGAATAATCCTCCCAGATTGCAAGGGCTGTTCTCACCCTTACAATGGGATACAAATGAGGGGGAAGAAATATTTTATTCTGAAAATAAATTCATTTTAGGTTCCAAACAAGATATGCCTACATACAAACTAAAGCTGATCTTATATTTGTGACAAAGTTTAGCACAACAGCATATTGCATTGTGCTGAAAATTAGACCATTAGGAAAGAAAACACATTCATTACACACTATGAGTTGGGCAAGCATCCATGAAAAAATATAAAATGCTTTAGCCTGATTTTCCACCCAGTTAACCAGTACTGAAGCCAATGGAATCACTGTATAATTAAGCAGATTTCTGTAAAGAGCTCATAACAGTTCACACTGCTTTAATAACCTCCCCATGTGTCAGAGAAGCTGAAGAAAGTTTCAAGACTGAAGGAAAATTCAAGAAACAGTATCAAGCAGTTTAGAAAATATGAAAATTGACAGCAACATGTAACATCATGGTGATGAGAGTCACAAGCATTTTACAGCATCAGAATATTGTATCTCATTAATAAGAAGTGTGACCATATTTTCTCCTCAGCTTGGAAGTAAAAAAAGCGCAAGAGCATGTGGTATGCATAAGAATTACTCTGTCATGCATCATATCATAGTCACATTCATATACCATAAAAAATGCTAGTAACTTGTTTCATACAGAAGCACCATTTTTAACTACATACATTATGCATAGAATCCCGTGTTTAACAAGAAAAGAGCTAAAGAAATACTGCCTGAGACACTGGAAAAAACTAACACACTTGTTATACATTTTATTGCTTTATAGATCTTTAATACATTAATCACACACATACCCTCAAGAGCAGGAGTTTACCACTGTATGAAAAACTTAAGTTAGGCAGCAAGATGTATAGTGCTGTACCAAGCATGACTACAAAAAGGAGACTAATCATTTAGTTATTGAAAGGGCAGATAGAAGTGCAAAAATCAATGTGATCGCTAAGGACAACAATGACATCTAGTGGATACTCGGAAAACTGACCCACAGCCTAACAGGTGAAAGGATCCAGCTGCCCTTCCTCAGATACCGTGCAGCTCCCAAATGGCTACCATACAATCAGGAAGATGGAACGAATTTACAGCTGATGAAAGTCAAAATAACGTGATGATTTATTTCTTCCAAAAGAATATTTAATTAATTCAATTAAAGAAAAATAAATCACATCAAGAGTTTCCCATTCAAGATTTAGGATAAAAGTGTAAGTCAAAACTTGAGAGAACATCACAAATCATTGAAAGCATGTAGATAGATACATAATGCTAACAGACATCTCTACTACACTATTTTTTACTCCCATAGCATCTACAGCTTTCTGCTTACAACTTCTTTGGACTTTGGTTTTCAGTCCCAACAATCCAAAGTGAAAAAAATGAAAACCCAGAAGTAAAAATTCAAGCCTCCATTTAGCACCACCCTTTTCTCATCATCCCGATCCTGTTACTGTAATACCTGCCATATAAGGCTGGTAAGTTAAACCTTCCCAAAATACCAGCCAGTAACTGCTGAGCTCCAGAGAAGAGCAATTTGAAACATGAGGCTACCCTGACCCAGAATGAGCAAAGATACCTGCTTATAAGTAACCCGATTAGTTTCCAAGGTGGACATCTACGAAGATCATGGATTATTTCAAACCTGCTTTTACTGTTAACCAAAAGGCAAGCAAAACCAAGCACTTAAAGCAATTTAAATCTTATCACAGTTCTCACTAGAAGCATCACCATAAAAAATACTGGATTTGATCTTTTTATAAATAAAACACTAAGAAAACACGACAACTCTGTCTCATTCAAAATCTTAAGCCAATCTGAAGAACTGAAAATTGGATTTTGCTTCATATTGTTAAAAAACCGCATCACATCCAAAATTTTTGCATCTCAGTGACTGCTGAGTATTAAAAAGAAAAGTATTAGAAACAATACTCAAAAGTAAAACTTAATTTATGAACATAGTCAATTATAATGATGTTTGGTAAAAAGTCTTATAAAAAATAACAGAAACCAATCTACTAAATTTACAAGATAAAAACTAAAAAGCAAACATCAAAATAAATCCAGCAGTTTTCCCCCTTCAAGCACAATGCCATATTTTACCTCCAAAAACCACTTCATTACATCAGATGTCTTAACAAGAAGAGAACTGTTTTAAGATAGAATGCAAAGCATCATTGACCTACCCGGATTTCCTGGAGATTATGAAAATTATTTCCTACTCTGACAGAGATCTTGCTTGGAGTGTAACTTTCATCAGATTTGTAGTCTGCATAAATACATAAGGTCTTCACTGTTGTTTTTCTTCTGCAAGAAGCAACACAAGCTATGTAAGCATCATAAAGAAAAATATTCAGAATGAGTTTGTTGCTAGCTTGCAATAACTAAGGATTTAAATGCTCTGAAATTGAATATGTGTGCCTAGTGATTCATAAGAAACTTGCTGTTGAAGAACTAGGTGATTTTCCACATTACATTTTGCACAGAGTTGATTTTCAACATTATCTTCTACCTGCCTTCAGAAATGTCAGTATACCAAAAAACAGATACCAAATAAGCACTTGTAGATGAAACTTAAGTTAGGCTTTTCAAATATGGGCTCTCTTATTAGACCAAGGCCTTCTCCAAAAAGTAAATAAAAAAGGCGGACAAACATCTCAAGTTCGGTTATAGAAAAAGTACTGAAAGCATCCCATACAGGATGGAATATAAAAAGGTTTCTCAAACTCATTTGTTAGGTTACACAGGAGTCATCTACCCTCCCAATGACACTCAAAGACACAAAATCAGGACGTAAGTCACCTTACATGAGTAAATGTGATGCTGTCACAATTGGCATACCATTAAACATTCCTTTTCGTTGCTTATTTAGACATTTAGTGATCAGAACATTTGAAAATCTCATTTTTTGAAATACTTTATGACTTCTTACCAGCTGGATAACAGAACTAACCCAGTTACCCAGGGTTAGTTCTTGCACTTCCAGAATTCCTATCTTATTGAACAGTACAAAGCACCCTAACCCACAGGGAGTATATTTTAATACCTAAATTGAATGTTCACCAAATGAGGCTGTGATCCATCTGACTGCCAGTAAGTTTCTAGATTATCATCTCGTAACTGATCCACTCCAAACCCTAAGAAAAAGAAAATGTGATAATCTTGAACATCCCATTTCTGTGATGCAAATGTAGCTCTTCTTCAACTGTTACAAATTAATGTCTCCCAAGTTACAACATATTAGGAAATACATCCAAGGTGCACCTATGCTTTTCTGACATGAAACTGAAACAGGGGAATCTGCAGAAGCTCAATACTGCTGAGGTCTGTGGGGAATTTTTCAAGTGGTTAAGTAGTAATTCATATTGGTTGTCAGAGTAATAATTAACAGTTAGACTTTTCCACGTCTTGTGTAACTTAACTGCTGAACTAAAGAAAAATCATTAGCAGAGACCATTCATTATAAATTTTTAGCCAAATGTAACATTTTCTTTTCAAGTCATGTCCTGAAATATTTTTGCTTTTCAAGTACTAGCTAGAACAGGCAATAGATGGCAAAACCAGTATTCCTAAAGGTTAATGCTATCACATTTGAAGAAGCAACTCCGGCTTTGTATTTTCTATTCCCTCATTATCCTTTTACTAATCACATCCTATTATTGATTGTCCACACTAGCTGCAGTTCCAACATAGCAGCTAAAGTTTAATCCGCAATAAAAAAATTCCTTCAGCCTGTTTCAGCAACAAAACCATGAGATATTTTTTCTCCCATATTCCAGGATTTCAGACCAAAGTCGTTCAGCCTGAGCACAATACTGTGACATAAAGGGATCGCTAACCCTTGCTGCAGCAAGACAGTTGATCAACTCCCAAGAGATATTTCTGAAATAGGAATTCAACCACCCCAAAGGGAAAGAATACATATTTTCAGATATTTTGAGCAGGTATCACTAACTGCCCCTCAGGACCACAGGTTCATTTTACTTGTAGGGTTTTAGGGCCACCCTGTAACAGTTGAGCCCACACAAAGTTTCAAAGCTCAGGCAGAACATTTAGGTCACCCAGCTGCACGGTCATCCTTAGTTAAAAATGGAAGACACCCAGACAAAATGCCAAAGCACAGAAACAATTTCACTGTGCTGGGTGTGATTCTGTTCACATGGCTTAGTTTGTTCACCATGTAAATAAAAATTAAAAAAAAAAAGCTAGAGCTCTGTTTAGTTCATATCAGATAGTTCCTCATAGAAGGATTTCTGATACAGTTATAACTTTCATATTGTAGCACATATAGAGAAGGCCAACATTACTAGTAGTAACTACAGCCTACACTACAGCAGTTTTACTGCTGCGGATGTTTTCCTCCCAAAACATAAATGTGCATTCAACTTTTTACATCATTGTTGTGATTTACCTGGCTTACAGGATGAAAGAGACCAAACTGCTTGTGAGCCTATTTCTCTAACAGTACCAGTCCTCTCTAACTGCTTTGGATCAGCACCAGGTGGGGTCTTGTTTGGGGTTGTCATTTCTAGTGAGAGAAAACAAGTAGTTAGTTGACATATTTTTAGCTTGATGGGAAAAATTAAAGGATTTTGTTTGTTCACATAGTCAGTTTAATTCTTTGGCCTCACACTTTTATAATAGCCTGCAGAATTTGTGGTTTATACATACATACACATGCATTTTTGCATGTATGTAGAACATTTTATTTATATATATAAAGCAATATGTATAAATATATAGCATATATATGTGCAATATATGTAAGGGGTTCCACATACGTGTAAATTTTGTGTCCTTAAGTACTCAACACATGCTTGCAACATTCATAAGACATACTTTACTTGCATTGTTGTAATTTATGCATATAGAGTTAGTCAGGATTTCAGAATTTGGTTATTACAGTTCTGTTTTTCAAAAAATTAAGATTGAGAATGTTAATTTAAAGGCTAGCAGTACAACATCATTCTCTTCCACAGATACACTTAAAAGTTCTCTTAATCTACAAATTCAGAAACTAGAGCAAGAGATACTTCTCCCCTAAAACAGGAAATGGAAGTTTAAACAAACTGTATAATTCGTAGCAATTAGTTATAGCCACATTTATTCACAGACCATTTCCTGAACTTTACAACTTCATCTGGAATCATTAACTTGTGACTTGCATTGTTCAAGTAATCACACTCAGCCTCAACGCCCAGACTATCACCACATATACGACAACTTAATTAAGCTGCGTTTTGTAAAGTACAGAGCACTTGACTATTTCCTAGCAAGTAGCTTAAAATATTTTTTTAAAAACTCCAAAGAAATCTAAGTTCCACGAAAAGAACTAAATTAAAGCTTAAAATTAAACATAGATCACTAAAGAGTCAGAGAATTAGAGCTGACCTCCCATCCTTTGCTTACATGCATGACATCACATCATGCTCTGCTAATCTCAGAAAAACTCTTCCAGCGCCTCTCCCAGACAGCAAATAAGGGACTGAGTTAGGCTGGGACCCACAAGATCCATGCCTTACCCACTACAGAACTGACACCAGCCAAACACGACATTTTCTATGTACTAGTGACTCTGCAGCTAAAAAGTCCCACAGGAAATCTGACTTCTCTAGTGCAACAAACATTTTCTATTGGCCCTTGAGTATTTTCTTTCAGTTTTGCAAACATAAGACTTGACAGAGATATTTTACCTGCTTTCTCATATACAAGACTCCAGTCCCAACTACCATAAACAAATCTGAAGAAATAATTGCATGTGCAGAAAAATCTAAATACTGACGAAACAGTGAATGTCACAAAAAGCTTCAGACAAAATCCTTGTTCAAACACCACTCTCTCAGAAGAGACAGCTGGACACTACACAGCTAATCCTACAGATGTCGTATATATATTCACAGACATATTAATGCTAATGTTATCTAAATAAAAAAAACTTGGAAAAAAATTACAAAACATTTACTTCACAGCTACTTGAAAAACAAACATTTTTCACAGAATCACAAAATGGTTTAAGTGGTGGAAGGGACCTTCAAAAATCATCTAGTCCACTCCCCATGCTGCACCAAAATTCAAACTATGTTTGTTAAGCATTGGGGAGACTATTATCCCAGACTTGTGAATTTTAAAGCTCAAACGACCTTCTAATCCAAACTCTGAGCAGTTTTTTTTTTTTATTTTTGTCACAGTGAACTAAGATGGTTGAGTTTCATTCATTTTAATTCTCACATTTACAGAGACACCAAAAATACTGTTCTTCTGACCTCTAAAAATATACAGAAATTTCAACCTCACAAAGTAAAGCTAACTTGTTCACCTGTAATTCAAGTGATCACATCTCAAAAACATCACAGAAAACATCTTTTGAATATTATCACCAGCAAGTCTTGACTTCAAGAGAAAATTACTGAAAAACTCCAAATCCCATCCTTAAGACACAAGGACTATGCAAACATCCCATCAAAACCCACCAAAATAAGGTAAACTGCAGAAATTGCATTGCTCAGTCAGATTACATCACAAACTTGATTATATATGCTTTTAGAAAACCATTACTAGAATTTTCAAAGTATGCAGAATACCTTAAGATAATGATGTTGAGCTTTCTTATAAGCTTCAGCACACAGAGCAAAGTTCTAAATAACTTAATAATGCAAGACTGGTATTGCACTGGTTCTCCAAAGTTGGAGGCATTACATTTTGGGGGTCTGAAATACACAGCAAGAAACACCATTCAAGTTCCCTACTGTTTTAAACTGAGCTTATTTCTTTTTGTCTAACAGGAAAAGATTCTCAAACCCCTAAATTTCAACTCCAAACCACTCATGGCAAATACATCAGCCACATATTGTGTACTAGTGATGAGAAAGACTGAAAATTTTCAATGGTTGAACTAAATGAGTCAGATTTTCATGACAGAAGAGAGAAGACCTGCTCAAGAACAATACATTCTGGATAGCTTTGCTGAAGCCCCCAGTACTCTCAGAACTTTAAAACCTGAAAGCTGATAGACGTACTAAGGAAAAATGATGTAGCAACAGGCCAGCTCACTCAAGTAACACTTCCAGACATTTTACTAGCAGAAGTGAAAGTACCTCATTTTAAATGAGACATCAATACTTAGCTCTAAAAGGAATTTAAGTCACCTAATAAAATTTTTCTTTGCATTTTTTTAAAAACAAAAAAATTTTTAACAAGGCCTTCTCCTTGACATGTGCTGAAAAATGGAAAGACACACTGCATCTTTAGAAGCATTGGCTGGAAACATCTCTGATTTTTCAATTCAGTTATTCCAAAGATCATTAACAGGCTGCTGTTTCCTTATTAACAGCATGAATATATGAATGTCTTCATTACATGATCAAGGCCACACTTTCATTTTGCCATTTTCCCCTCTGTGGTTTGCAAATCCTTTGGTCAAGACAAAGCAGCAGCTTCTTCCCCCCTCCTTCAACTCTTTATCCCTCATCTTTCTCACGGAAGTTCTCTCTTTTCCAGAAAACATTCCAGCCCTGTAGCAGTCAATTGAAGATGTTTTAGCAAGCACAGTTTATGAAGAGAGCAAAATGGATTGAAATGGTTGGCCAGTCTGCCTTCCCCAACCAAAGCAGCCAGGTTGTTCTCAGGGTACCAGCAGGAGACACCTTTAAAAGCTGCACACCTGGAAGCAAACCCTTGTGTAAGCACACAACACACCCAAGACGAGACACTGAAGGATACATCATGGGCCTTTCCTACTAAAGCTCCATAAAAATCCAGGCTGAAGGAAACTTGCAGATTCCAAAGCAGTTTTCTCCTGTTAAAACTTGCAATTCCACCACGTTGTATGCACAGAACTATTAAAATACATACGGTAAGGGCCCTTGAGAGACCTGACTGTGCCTGAGAGATGTCTGTCCAGACATTTACTTCTCCAGCAAAAGATTTGTGGACACCCAGCTTCAGGTTTCATCAACCTAAAAGCTAAAGATTTTCCTTTAGCATCCAAATCAAGTATCACCACCTAAAAACAAGCATCTCTTGATCTACAGAGAACTCAAAGACTTGTTAACCACTGGCCTTTACACAGCAACCCTTCTATTGATGTGAAGGCACTCATCAAATTTGCTCTTAGTTTCTTCTTTTCTGGAGTGTCTGTGTCTTTCAAGCTCCCCTCACAAAGTTCAATAAACCTAACATTCTTGTGGAGTCTAAATATCCAGCACTATTGTTTAAAAAACATAACCAGACCATTTGAGCTAATGCCCTTTTCCATCAGAGTAATCACTTCCCTTGTCTTTATACTTACTCACACTTGTTAATGTGACAAAGCAACACCTGGGTAGTTGAAACAACATAATTCTGAATTAGTAATGGTTTTACTATGCATACAGTGCTGAAATGCAGTATAAATGCCCAGTGTTTTTTGGGATACTGTTTGCTGTTCACTGACACCCTTTCCACTAACCAGACCTTTGATTTTTTTATTCCTGTGTTCTCTTCCTCCCTCAGTTCCTGTGAACTGAGCTTAGTTACACTGCTTTCCAACCTGCTACCAAGCTTCTCAAGGTGGTTTTTAATTCCAACCCTTAGCTGTACAGTGCTTGCAATCCTTTCAACTTTGTATGCCACATTCCAGGGAACAGTAAAAATACACTCAAGACTGAACTCTCCAGGAGCAATTTCATGACACCACTGGTAAAAAGTGAGTCATTTAACAGTCAGATTCAAAAGCTCTTAAAAAAAATTTTTAAAACAAATTATTTTTAGAGCACACTTCAGTAGCTTGAACAATGGCAGAAATCCTGTAAAACTCAAGGCAGACTCCTCATATTCCCCCCCCTTATTAAGTGCATTGGCTACTGAAAAAAAAAGTTTAATCCAGACTACTCTCAACAAGCCACAATAGAGTATTTCCTGTGTGCAGACTGATTTTGTCCTCTACTTACTGACAAATTCCCTTCCCAAACCATCTCCTCAGAATCATTCAGGAGATCAGAGATCATCTGGCTTTTCTCTTTTTTTTTTTTTTTCTTTTAAGAAGTAATACTCTGATTGCATTCCAATCATATAATTTTGTTCAGTTTGAGCAAATATCTGACTACAGCCTTTCCAGGAATACTGAACAAAGGCTGCACTGACTACTTCATCATTTTTACAACATCCTTAAGACTGTTTTTCTTGTTCTCAACAGAAGGGAATTTCATACCTAAGATTCCCTGATTTTCTTAACTGCATTACTCAATTTACTACTCATTTACAAGCTCTTGTCCCTGGTCTCATTTTCTTTGGCTGAACCCTTGCTCTCCCAAGGCCTTTAAAGATCTCAAGATATATCTGAACACCAGCATCTCACTACGCTTCCTATTTTTTTAATTAGATGGAAGAGTAAACATTAAATATTAAAATTACTAATGTTTAATTAATATTTAATAATTATAGTAAGCGTACAGCAGCACCCTATTTTAACTAGCTCACCTGTACATTTGATCCTTCAGATTATTCTCTCAAGCCAACTTTAATAAACTTATTTTTTTACCCTGCCTCCAGTGCATAGCTTTAAGCCCATTAGTTAAAATTAATAGACTTTCATTGTCAAAAATAATTTCATTAAAAGTAAAGATAAACAAAATAATTATATTAGCAGTTTTATACATATATTCGTAATCAATCTAAAAAAAAAATTTTAAATATACTTTTGTGAAAGCCCAGACTTTCCAAAGTTACCTGGTAAGGCCACAAGCTGTTCCTTAAAGGAGGCGAGCACATCTTTACAAGGAGTGTAAAGTGTAAATATTATGTGGAAACCGTCGTGAAAACCAAGAGCAACCAGAGGATGAAGCCGCTTTGAAAAACCAACCGGTAGCCATCCCCCCACGACTTGTTTGTGGGGCTTTCAGTCAACATTAATTATACTAGTTATTACTGCAACAATTATAAATAAACATAATGAAAATCAACCAGGTTTACAACTCTACACTGCGGCCGTGGCCCCCAAGCCTACAAACCGCATTTGTATCGGAAATAAAGCAGCGGCACCTACTCACGGCACGGGCCCCGCCGGATCCCCAGCCCGGCTCCGCTCTCCGGCCGCGGGCGCGACGCGAGAGCCCCGCACGCGCGGCGGGAGGCACCCGGCCGGGCAGCCCCGCACCCGGGGCGAACACGCCGCCTCAGCCAGCCGAGCTTCTGCCCGGCCTGGACCTTCCTCCTCTTCCTCCTCCTCCTTCTCCTCCCCTCACGGCCACGGCAGAACCGCAGCTCCCACCTTTCCCACCTGATCCCGCCTCCTCCTTCTCCTTCTCCTCCCCTCACGGCCCCAGCAGAACCACAGCTCCCACCTTTCCCACCTGATCCCGCCGGGAACAGCCACAGCCGCCGCCGGCGCAGCGGAGAGGCCGCAGTGCGCGCGCGCCGCGCCGCCCGCTCCCCCTCCGGCGCCGGGGCCGCCCCTCACACGACGCCATGGGCGGGGCGGGGCCGGCGGGAGCGCCGTGTCCCGGCTCCTCCGGTGTGGGAGCGAGCCTGGGACGCCCTCGGTGCTGCGCATGGAGCCCGAGTTCCCGAGGTGGCTCCTGGAAACGCTTCCCCACGGGAAGCAAAGCGCGTAGTCCCAGTGTTTCAGATGCAGATGACGCGCTGCCCAGGGCAGGTAGAGGCCAGCAAGACCTGGGTGTCGTGGCACCCCTTGTGTGGGAGCAATCCGTGGGCACGATTGTTATTGGGGGTGGTGTCCTTAGTGATGTGATGGGCTCCCGAAAGACAATGACAGATCTTCCCGATGGGAATGAAAGCACGCAGTGGTCCAGGTGCAGAAGACACGCTGCCCAGGACAGGTAAAGGCTAGCAAGACCATTCTATCGTGGTACCTTTCGCGTTGTATCAATCCCCGGGCGCATCCGATATTGGAGCTCCATTCCTAATGCCGAAACCGCGGTCGACAAAGGGAATGGGAACGCCTTTCCCTGAGAAGGGAAGCAGCCGGTCTATCTGTTGCTGCTGCCCGTCACCACCTACCCAGCAGAGGCCAGCCAGACCCTTCTGTCCTGGGAAGGCGCCGTGCCGACCCGGGAACTCCCCTCGCAGCGGGGCCACCGCTCGCAGGGCGGGCTCGGGGAGCTCGGGCGCTCCGGCCCGCCCCAGGAGGCTGCGCTCCCTACGCCCGGCCGCGCTCTAGGTCTCCATGGTGAGGAGGGCCGCCCTGCCCTTCCCTTCCCTTCCCTTCCCTCCCCTCCCCTCCCCTCCCCTCCCCTGCTGTCCCTGGCGAGGGCCGCCCTTCCTTCCCTCCCCTCCTCTCCGTGGCGCGCGCCAGGCCCCGCCCCCCGGGCCCGACGGCCATCTTGGCCGGGTGGCGGCGGCGGCGCGAGCACGTTGCGCGCGCGGGCCCGCGCGCGGGATCACCGGACGCCGTTCATTCCCACCTTCCCGCACGGGAATGGAGGCGGTAGGGAAGGGGCCCCGCTCCTCATGGTGTGCTGCCGGCCCGGCCTCCGCCGCTGCGCCCGGCCTGGGCGGCGGCCTCGCCCCTGTCGCCGTGGGAGAAGGGTCGGCTCGACCGCGCCCCGCCCGGGGATCGGGGCCGGAGGCTCCCGGGGATCGGGGCTGGCTGCCGGCGTGGGCACGGCCCGGGCCGGCACTGCCTGCACACGCGGCACGTCATCCCCCACGCCTCGGGTTTTGTGCCAGCCGGGGTCAGAGAGCGCCGTCGCTGCTGCCGCTCCCGGCTCGGGTATGGCTTCCCTGTGGATGCAGCGCGGGATCCTCGCCCGGCGGCGGTGGCCTGGCTCTGGGAAAGGGAACGCCGGCATTTTGCTCCTGTGAAAACGGGGAACTTCCTCCTCGTGATGGGGGGAAGGCCGTATTTTGCCTTCTTTTGAGGGACGCTGATATCCACGTGGGTGCTTGTGGGGCGGTGAGATCAAGCCTTCCTGCAGGTGCGATAGATAGCGGGGTAAGGCCCTTTTCTGCGAGGTGTGCGTGAAAACAAAAGAAGTCGGCAGGCCTTTTCTCAAGGATCATGGTGGTGTTTCCTGCCTGGAATGCACTTGGATACTTCACCTGCAAATTCCTGTGACAGTTTTCACTCCCTAATTTAAGTTTCCCTGCTGTGGTTCCTTCCATAAACTGCAGTCCTAAACCAGTGATCATGAAATACTTTCATTAGTTTCATTAGATTGCTAATTTATGGGTTCGTTCTCACGCATTTCACTTCATGTTAAGGGGAAACGTTAAAGATTGAGCGATAATTAATACTGCTCAGCACAAGCTAAACACACCCACTCGTTCTGCAGCGTCAGTATACTTGACCATATGCTTTCATGTTAACATATTTTCTTATTCATGTCGTGTCTTATGAGTAACATAATGATTTAATACAGTAGGGAAATCTGGGGCATGTCTAAACTTCTTTTTTTACATTGCCTCAGTTTCTAAAACAAATGTGAAAACCTTAAGCATAGACTAGTTCTTGTATCATTTACTGTTGTTTCTGCTTTGATACTTACAGATGTAGTGATCTCCCATATGCAGTTTGAAAACCTGTTTTACCTTTAATTTCAATTTTCTTTGGTTATTCTAGTTCTTGGCTTTATGGTGTGACTGTATATAGTCCATTGGCAGTGGAATTGAGAGGCAATTCTTGAGCTTGTTTTAAATGACAGTTGGAAATGCTGCTCATCCTCACTTCTTTCCACAGCAGTTCTCTCTGAGGTTTGATGCAATGTAATTTTATAAAGTGTTCACTGGTTTTGTGCAAAGTAACTAAAGCATGGCACAGTTCTGAACCCAAACCTTGCCTTCACAACTTTCATTGAATGGTCTCTGGTGTTGTTTCAGTCCTCAATTACTTATAATGTTTAAATTTTTCTTTGTTTAAGCCTGAAAAATTCAGTGCAATTACAAATCCTTCTCAGTCATAATTGCCTTGACATGGTAAATTATCATTTAGCTCTAAAGCCTGTGAAAGAAATAAGTATTAATGCAAGCACATTGCACGTGTTCTACAGATTGTACATTGCTGTTGCCTTCTGTGACAGATAGCAAGGTTTGCATGTGAGCAGCTTTTTTTTTTTTTTTTTTTTTTTGTAATCTGGTGTGTCAGGGTGTGCAGCAGCTGTGTCAGACAGCCTAAGAATACTGACCTGGAATGCTTGTGATAACATGTTTGGTGTCTTATTTTTAGACATGTTTCATTTTTTGTATTAAATTACATAATTGGACGTAATGGGCAGCTTTTGGCGTTAATGAATGATACTGACAGGGTTTTTACAATATTTTCTTTTTTCTTTAGCCAGCAGATTTTAGTCATTCTCTCCTTCCTTCACCTGTATTGCCAGTCCATTCTGGGAAGATTTTCTCCTGCCACACCATCATCCTTCAATAACTCTAAACAGCTCTTTACCCTAGTAGCTAGTAGCAAATTAGTATTTTCATACTCTGTTTTTTATTCTGTTCTGCTTGATATGGAAAGGAGAAGCACAGTCATGAAGTCAAAAGCTTCTGAGTACCAGTTTCTCCTGCCCCTGAAGTGCTGACTGCGCTGCTCGGTTACTGGTGTGCTGTACTGTAACGTTGCTGATCTGTGTTCAGTCTCCTGAGAGTTCTACCTCTGTTCCTTGGAATCTGACCATCCTATTCCATATGTTAACTTAAATGCCACTCAGTAACTGGATGTAAATATGTAACTTGAGTTCACTCTGGTTTTGGACAGTTTATTTGTTTCTGAGTTCTAAGTAGATATTATTATTTTCTTTTGTGGCCAGTAGTCATTGTAGGTATCAGCACAGTCCTGGAAATATTACAGAAGTTCCAGGAGTCACAATTTTTATTTTTTTTTTCTGAAAATGGTTAAGACCAGTAGAGAGTTTTGAATAAACTGACACTTCTGTCACATAGATGGGAGCAGAGTGGGAGGAGTGTGTGTCTTCATGCTGCTTCATTGCTTCTTTCCCCCTCCACATACTCTAATAAATGCTTAGTGTACCTGCTTAATTCACTGACCCCTTCAAAACTATTCACCACAGATAGGGCATTTTCATGTAAGTTAGAATGTAACTTACATGGGCATTTTCCCAAGTAAGTTAGCGTTAGAAAAATACCCAAACTTGGGCTGTTTCATTGCTTACCAACCACAGTCTGATTCAGCAGTGAATGTAAACTTCAGTCTGATTATCCCGCCAAGACTGTGGAAAGCTTGCTGAGGAACTTGGCAAGAGTTGCTTGTTTCAAGCCATATTTGCCTTTGGTGTCTGAGAGCAGCCCTGTCCCACTCTCCTGCCGTGGAGCTTCAGGCTAAACCCCGGCTGGAAAGGTGGGTGGCTGAGGGGAGATGTCAGGGCTGAACTTGGAGCAGGGTTTGGGGGGCTGCAAGGGCAGCCTGCTTGAGGCACAGCTTCTGGGGCAACCCACAGAACCGGTTCAGTGCTGTCTGCAGCTCAGGTGGAAGATCCACAGTGCCTGTCTGTGCAGGGCTAGGAGAAAGGGCTGACCCATGTTAGGCCCTTCCCTTGGGAAAACAGAGAGGGTATGATTCACCCCCAAATACTCTCTGCACTGTACATGGCAGGATTTTAGTGAAAGGCACTGGGATGTCTTCCCAAAGAATGTATCTTTATTTGAAATAATGACAACATCCAGTATCTGTCCCCAAGAAAATTACCCTGAATAAAACACCTTTATAGTCTTCAAAAATATGGCTTTCAGTTTGTTGTTTCCTATTGTATTAAAGTGAGAACTGCAGACTCATTATTCCATGCCTGTTTGCCTGGTCTACGGATGCTATTTCAATGTTCAGCCCTGCTTTGTCAGTCTGGTCTGACAATACAGAAGTGTTGAATCTCTTTTAATTTTTTTTCTTATGTTTACTCATTTATTTGAAAACATCAGCTGTGTTAATAGGACTTTCTGGCTTAGGAAATTTAAAATAATAAAGGGAAAAAAAAATAAATGTAAGCAGAAACTGCCACAATATGGTTGGCTGGGTGAGTAATAGTTGCATTCATTTATAGGTGATGAAGAATATCTTTTGACATTAGTTTAAAAATACTTTGGAAACTGAAAAAAGAAATAAGACTACCAGTTTTTAAAGGAACCACTTGAAATATTTGTACCTATGTTAGTAATGGATTTAAGGATACAATAACATCAGCTTTTCTGATCTTTGCTGTTGGATGTTCATCTTCCAGATATTGCAGTAGTATCTGGAGGATTCCTTCCAACTGAATTTTATAGAAGGGTAAAATTTAACGTGATAAATGTGCCATACACCCATTTTATTCTTGCTTCCATCATGAGTCTGCAAGTCACAACCTTTCTTCACCCAATAGCCATATGTAGTAAATATAGTCTGTAGACCACTGCAGGATGCTTTTGTTTGGTGAAGCAAAGATGAGCTGGACATC